ATTAAAAACCTCTAATAATTTTATAAATGTAATGATTTTCCAAAAGCCTTAGCAATTGAAAGTTCATAATACTAATACTAATAATGTAATAACATATTTGAAAATATATTTTGTTACAGTTTCCTTTTTTAGAGAAAAAAAGAGGTACCATAAAAAAATCTGCATATATGTATTTACATTATGACATTAATTAGATTTGTTAATCAACTTATATCGAATACCCCAGAATGATGTGTCACATTAAATGATTGGGAAGTGTATTTTCTGAAATTTTCTGGTGATCAATGTTGAAATTCTATTAATAAAATTAGCCACAAACCTTAATTTTTGCTTGCCAATCTCCACCAAATTTGAGACACAGATTTTTCAAGACTTATTCCTTCTTTTAGAAAAAAATTAGGAGAGGTTATTAATAAAATAAAAAAAAATCTTGGTGTTAAAGTTTATCAACCAAATTACCACATTTGGAAACTAATTATCTATTTTTGGTTATGACTCCTGATAGTCTCATGCCCACAATTTTTTCCTTTTTGTGTATTGATAAATAAATTTATCAAAATTTAGTATGTTTTTTGCCATTTTCACTAAACTTTAATAAACAACAATCCACATAAAGCTATACCTAAATAAAAACTTACAACATTTTACATCACTTCAACCACTCATCAAGTTTGTAAAGATAATATTGGTAAAAAATCTTAGCTTTGAAGTAAAAAGTAATGCTGTTTTTGAATAAATGTAGATTGACATAGAGTGCCTCTATAAATGTGGGAGAGGGCTAATTAGAAAGCTATAATGTCATAGTTTTATCTTTAATTAATAATGATGTTTAAATTTATTATAAAAATAATGAGATATTTTAAAAAACTGATTTGTTACACGAGTCGGGTCTTCTATTTTGTATATGTAATTACACCAATTTTTATTGGTCAGATTTTTTGTACTGCTACACTCGGATAATCGTATTTATTTCTTCATTTTTATTTCTTAGACAGAACATGATGTTTATTTATAGCAAACAGATAATTGTAACTATCATTTGTTTATTTTCTTCATTTTTATATTTCTTGAACAAAGAATAATGTTTGTTTATTTATTTTATAGCACCACATTGCGGACATTGAATTTTTAGAGTTTACCAATAATAAATACAAATCATCGGAATTTAATCAAGTTACCAAACCTGAAATAAAAGCACAGATTATATCACATACTCTCTTATTTTGTACGGGCCATTTACTTGATTGACATCCTGTGACATTTAAAAGCTGGTCATTTATACACGGCGGTCCGTTAAAAAAAAAATTACTTGTCAAATATGTTGAATTAATAAATCGAAGTTGTATCAAAAAAATATAATAATAATAAAAATATTAGATGGTAATAATAAACAACATAAGTTTTTTTATTCTTTATATCAAAGCTTTGCCTGATATGAACGATTTTACCACCGCTCCCACTACCACTAATGCTTCCACACCACTACTTCTACTCTATTCCTTCCTCTTCTTTTTCAATTTTTATTACCAATAAACGAAAGTCAATAATTTAAGGGTGCATCATAATAGTATTGAATTATCCTAATTTAGAACATTGTTATAAAATAGAAGCACACTATATTGAAGTTCGTTGATAATTTGGTTCTAATTAACATTTTTTTTATTAATGATACAAATAATGGTGAAATTAATGTATAGATTTATATGTTGGAGATGAAACATATTATCTATTTTAAATATTTAATTTAATACCATCATTAAAAAAACATTTAATTTCATCAAAAACTAAATTAGGCGCCAATGGATTGGCTGAAAAAAACAAAATAAGGAATTTTTTTTATTGAAAAAATTCTTTACCACTTGCTTTGGAGTTTACTGAAATAAAAGAATTAAAAATCCAAAAAAGTTCATCAAAATTGCGTAACGCTGGCGTGACATTTATACAATGAATGAATGGAAAATGAATGTTTTCCAAATTAGGATTAAACTCCATATTTGGATTTCTTTCTATTTTACCGACCAATTGATCAATAGAACCAGAATCTATTTACTACTTATTTTTATAGAAGAAATTGCCAAAAGAGAAGTGGCGTTGTTATAAAAAATTCATCTTTATTATTCAATTGAAATCTACATTCGGAATAATATGTAGGACATGTACCATTACACATATATAACACTTATTTAGTTTAGCTGCCATTATTTTCTTTACAAATGAAATCCAATTAATCCATGCGCTTCGATATTGAGAATTGATAATGAATATCATGTTTATTGTTTATGCAAAATGAATTCCGCAAATGAAGGCCAATCATTAATTCATGAAATTTAACTTTAATTGTATTTGAATAACACTATTTTAATTAGAAAACAATAACATATTAATTAATTAACTGCTGGCTGGGGGTTTTTTTTGGTTTGCATTTAAGCCAGCTGCATATAATAATAGTGCATATTAATATTAATATCAATACGGACTTTATCCATGTCAGACTGTTACGAAGTCATTTGACAAATGTTAATGTCACAATAACAATAACAACAATAATAACGAATACGAATAAATAATGAAACGATTGGATCAAGTTGCGTGTTTGTTTTTTCATTCATCTCTTTCCATTTTTATTGAAAATACGCAACGAAACAAACGAAACTCTCTAACTTGCATGCATCAATTTCATATAAAAATTTTCATTGTCACGTGGGAGATAAGTTTTTTGCCAAAAATAGGCAAACATTAATGAGTAGATCTCCGGCCGATTTTTTTTCGCCACAGAAATTTCATGACATAATTGAGTCTAATCTTTTTAATATTAATATATATAGTATAAGTTTTAAAATATAATTTATAATGAGTGACAAAGGGCGAACATTGAAATTATTATAAAAAATGGTTCACGATTCTACATTATTATTTATTTCTATTATTAAAAGTTATATATGATGTGCGTCATACAAGAGATATAAGATAATGACAAATAAGTCCAAATAGTTGGTAATATTGGACGCGTGACAATTTCCAAATTTGAATTTGATTATTTGATAAAAATGCATATACACGATAAACCGATTTTTATTATTATCTATTTATTAAATTTATCTACTTGGATTTTGTTGAGGTTCTTTTTTTTTGTGAAAAAATCAACTTCGGTTTAACGAGTTCTGACTATATATATATATACGTGTTATATTCCTACAAGAATAAATAAAAATTTAAAAAATTTTTCTTGTAAAAATTGCAATTTTATTTATTAAAATTTATTAATTCAAATTAAATAAATTATTGAACAATGGCATCTTCTTTAAATAATACAAGTATCCCTGTAGTTGTTGCTGTAAATGCAGTAAATAATCCAACAAGGGTAGCTGCTAATAATGATCAAAACGTTGTATTTTTTTTTAATGGAACTCCGGATTTATTTGAAGACAACAATAACAACAAAAACAATAATAATTCGGATCAATTTGATTATACGGGCGGCAATGAGTTTTAACGAGAAATATAAAATCCCAAGGGTAATTCTATTTATAATTGATTGGTTTGAGTTTTTCTGCGCATTTATTATATATTAATACCAACAAACAACTTTTTTATTATCATTTTTAGCAAATACTATAAATTAGTTAATAAGCATTATAAAGCAATATGTATATATTATGAATATGTGTATATAATGTATATATTATAAATGTTATTATATTACTATTATATGTATACATTACATTAAACCATTATGTAAACATTAAAAAGTATACTTTATTTAGGCAAATGAAACTATCGATAAATCGGAATTTAAAACAAATCCATAGCTCAAGATTATTTAAATCCCTTGTGTCAAATCATAACAATTAATAATTAATAATATACAATCTTGTGACGTGTATAGATCTGTAATGTAGATCAATTTATGTGGATTCATTCATATATTAATGATTTATTCCTTTTACCAATTAAATTGGCCAAATCTCTTTCTTTCACTTCATAACGGGGGATTTGGCTCACAATCGACTAATTTATTACATGACAAAATTAAACAAAAAAGAACATATTATTTTTATTCCTTATACTACTGCTATCATGTAACAACATATTATTCCGAGAAAAGTTACATTTCACTCCTCCTATATATAACAGACCTTTTTATAACAAGCATTAAATAAATCCCACTATAACAAAATTTCTTTCTATATATGACGAACACCTATCTATTGATGAATAAAGTCACAAAAAATACTTGTATGACAATAATGTTTGTTATAGAGAGTGAATTAATATTTTTTATTTTTTTAATAAAAATTTTGTTTTATCCAGACTCTTTAGAAAGTTATGTAATTAAACTCTGGCAGCAAAGAAAGAAAATAAAAGGATGAAATTAATCTATTTATCAAGGTTATTTATTACATGTAATAATCTTATTTACTTATTCAAATGCGTCGAATCCTCCCATATTAATGATGAATTTAAAGAAAAAAAATTTGATTTATGATGTTACGCTAAACCACTATATACATTCACCATTAAAAAGAGACAAACCCACCCATAATGTTTACAATTTTTTCCCGCCAATGAATCGCCATCACATTTTACCTTTAATTAATACACGCCTTCTTATTAATTTTTCCACTAAATTTGATGACGAGTGGGGTAGTATTAACGGTTATATTAGGAAAAGTAGATGATGATGATGATTATCAAATAAAAATTTGTAGCTGAAACTGGTGTCCCACTACTTTTTTGTCGCAAGGGCCGAAGTTGCTACTACCACCGCAATCATTATTGTTACTATCGCCTATAAAATGATGTATCTTCTTGTTAAGAAAATATTCTCCCTCCAGTTCCAGAAAATGTCAATCAAAGTTGCAAATACACATAATCCTCCGATAATTATCAACAGCAATAGCCCTCCAGTGATAATGGACGCCGTTAATTCATTTGCCCTGGAAATAATTAACGTGACACCGGAGAAACATAATAATAGTGGTAATAAATTTTTTGAAAATCAATTAAAATAATAATTAATAAATATAGGGAATTGTTATTCGCACCCCTCCCGTGACTAAGACAAAGATGAACCAATAAAATCATCACATTTTAAAGCCATTCATTGGTTACTTACTTAGTCACGGGAGGGGCGGAATAATTCTCTAAATATACGTACCACTTATTAAACATATTTCTCCAGTTTCTTCCCTGCATCTTTTCCACGCAGAACCAAAAGAATATATTATAGATTAACTAATTTCTACTTGGTCTATTCCATCGTCATGCATGCACGCATTGAAGATATTCAACCAATAAAAAAAAAACCGCTGGTTAGTAATTTTAAAATTCATAAAAAAAAATTATGTTATATTATTACGTATATAAATATTATAATAATAATAATTATAATTATTATTATTATATTTATATATGAAAAACATAGTGATTTCCAAAAGGATACATTTATTCTAGCATATATTTAATAAGGGCTTTAATAAAAAAAATGGATTTTGACATATTTATATTTAATATAAAAAAACCAAGCTTTAGGCAGAAAATTTATTGTTTAAAAGGTTTTTTCGTAATAAAAACAATAAAAACAAAAAAAAAATTTTTTTCTCTGTCAAATTTTTATATATAAAATCCTTGGGAAATCTGGTGAAAAAAATTTTTTTTGATGAGTGTAATACAGTAATATGTATCAATCGTCAATTTTAGTTAACATAAGATATTATATTTTCTTTTTATTCTACCAAATAAAAAACTGTGAAAAAAATTTTTTCTTTGTGAAATAAATAAAATAATAAATAATAAATAAAAATAAAATTTAAAATTATTCCGGAATATACATCAAAATCTAATTCCAGTAACATAATTAATTAGAAATTATTAATTAGAAAAGATTTCTGTTTATATTAATTTAACTATTGTTAAAAAAAAATTTTTTTTTATAATACTATTATTATTAATAATAAATCATTAAAGGGTATGGTAAACAATACAATCAGAAAGAATTGTTTATGCGACCATTATTATTATCATTATCATTATCATTATCATTACCATTATTAAATCCTTCCTTTGTATATTATTATTCGCTATCAATAAATAAAAATTTACTATTGTTATTTAAATAAAACATCCATCAAAAAACAAAATAAACACAGTACCTGGACAGAAGAATCGGATACAAAAATTTCTGAAAAAAATTTTGATAATCAATTTTTATCAAATTTTTAATATATTATGAGGGTCAGAAGATTGTATAAATTTCAAAACATGTTATTATATAGCCTTTCATCAAAAGATTTTTCCAAAAATGATCACGTTTCTTTTATTTTAGTTAGGAATTGAGTAACGAAGATTTTTAAATGCACAATCTTCAAAATCTATCAGAATTTATTAATTGAGTACGGTTTTTGTGTAATTAATACATTTGGGATGTCACAGGCACTGTAGCTTTTATTGCATTTCCTAAATGAAATAACCATAACCCCAAGCTGGTTTTAAAGTGATCGACTAACAAAAGTTGAGGATATACTTTTAAAATTTTATTTATTTATTTTAAAAAGATTTGAAATTGAGCAAGCATTCGCTCACTCTTTCTCTCCCCTAAAATTTCTTCAAAAAAATTTTATATTGATCCAAATAAATAAATAAATAAATAAATAATAAATAAATAAATAAACAAACAAGCAAACAAACAAGCAACAAACAAACAAATAAAGCGAGTAATAGAAAAAGTCTTTAGCTTGATTCATTATTTGGGGGGGAATCGGGCAATTAGTTATTTAATACATAATTGAACGTAATCTAATTGTATTGTTTGTGTTATACTAATATATATAGAAAGTAGAGTTTGTACCCACTGAAGATATTAATTCGATCATTAAATCAACTATTCAGTGAATGATTATTCATTGATTATACAGTGAATGTTCATTATTAACAATAAATTTTAAATTTATTAATCATTTTACATTCTATCAAATTATTTCAAAAAACAAATCTTTTCAAATAAAAGTTAGTTAAATTTTGTTTTTTTGAGGTTAATCTGACTAAATAATCTCTCGCTTGGAGTGGACGTTGTAGGTGGATACAAGTATTTAGTTGACAAACAGGAAATCTATTGTTATTATGTTTCCATCACAAGAATGGACCATCTTTCCATATCCAACTTGACCACCCTTTTCTTCAACATTATTGTATTGTTGCTTTCTCCTATTATAGTGTCTGTAGACCCTTCTTCCATTTTAAATGAATGGAAGTGAAATAATTAATTTAATTAATTAGAAATGGACAAACAGAATTTATTTGGACATGAAAAATTTCAATTCAGTTGTTACGCAAGATATTGATTCAACAAAATATTTATTGAATGCAAGCTTCTAACAAAAAATAAAAAAAAACCAAGTGAATATTCTATATTTGATGATTTGGCTTATTACATTTTAGCATTTAAGGAAATCTGTTTATCTTGTGATTAATATTGCGAATTACAGTGATAATGACGACAGCGACGACGACAAGGACACGGTGCAATTTTCATTACTATTTATAAATTATTATTATGGGGTTGTTTCAGATTTTGACTTATTGAGTACAATAAATCATAAAAATAGACTTGAGCCAGAAACCTACCTGGTAATTGATTACTCAACTTTATTATATATATTATAATAAATAAAGATATTCTATATCCTTTTTATTTAATTTTCAAATTTGGATACTTGACAATTCTCATTATTTATATTGCTTATTTATGTAAACATATATATGTGTGTTATATTCCTACAAAGAATAAATAAAAATTTTTAAATTTTTTTTTTTAAAAATTTTGTTAATTCAAACCAATAAACTTATTGAAGAATGAATACAAGGAACTTTACAGTTGTTACAGTAACTACTACTCCAACAATAACAACTGTTGTCAACACAACAACAGCCATTGATCTAAATGTTGAAAGCTTTTTTAACGGAGCTCCAAGTTTATTTGGAAATAATAATAATAATAATAATAATAATAATAATAATAATAATAATAATAATAATAATGAAAATAATAATAATAATAATCTGGATATATGCGCGGCAATAAGTTTTGACAAGAAATAAATATGATCTTGAAGGTAATTTTATTTAATGTATTATATGCCACGTTTATATATTAATTTTAAAGTTACCAACCCAAACAACTTTTTTATTATCATTTTTAGCAAGCGCCGAATAATACTAAGAATAAGTTTAATAAGCATTATTATGAATATGTGTATATAATTTATACATTATAAATGTTATTGTATTAACTATTACATTAACTATGTGTTAACTATTATGTAAACTTTAAAAATTATACTTTATTTAAGCAAATGAAAATTACTTGAATCCAACTTTTTAAACTATCTGTAAATCGGAATTTCAAACAAAATTCATGGCCTTTAAAATCTCCTGTATTAAATCATAATAAAATTAATAATGATACATATAATCTTGTGTATATTAATTTAATTGGATTATGCCAGCCAAGAGGGATATTTAATGGAAAATTTGAAATATTATGGATTCATTCATATATTAATGATTCTAAACATTTTATTTTTTTCACTTCATATAGGAAGTTTGAATATTGAGTAATTTATTATTACATGACAAAATCAAACAAAAAAACATATTATACTTATCATATAACAACCCTAAAAAATATATTATCCCGAGAAAAGACTACATTTCACTCATCCTATATATAACAGACCTTTCTATAACTAATACTAAGTAAACCCCACTGTAACAAACTTCTTTTTTATCTCTCTCTCTCTATTGCTATAGTGAATAAGGCACAAAAAATATTTATATGACAAGAAGGCTCGTTATAGAGATTGAATTAATATATGTATGTTTATATTATACATAAATCATAATATTATTGTTTTTGACTAGTCCTTTTATAAATTTATATAAAATACCCCAATATTTATATAATATATATAATGATTTTAAAGTCATTAACCAGCTTTTTTTTTGTTATCATTGTTATCATCAATGCGTGCATGCATAAATGATGTCATAGTACAAGGAATATGTTAAATTTGTTTCCTAATTCATATGGTTGATTTGTCATGGTCTAGGCCTCCAAAGAAAACTCTTACCACACCTACCTTAGTTACACGACAAGGTTTTTTTAAGATATTTCCTTATTTTCTACCAATCATGGAGGTTCTGGGTTGGGATTAGGTGTGGTAACCTCCAATTGTTGTGTCACGTGGCCAAATTTCCAAAATAGAGCTCTACATATATTTATATATATAGTAATAAGTCTATAATTGCTTGTTCTCTAAATCATATAATTTTTTTAAAAAAATACCGTGTTCTCTCTATATATTAAATATGTGTTAAACGTTGGATAGCTAGAGGTACTGTCTTCAATTTAGGGCTTTTGTTCGAATAAGGTTTATTCGTTTTATTAGTTATTATTATGAATGAGTATTCGAATTACATTGAATAAATTTTTAATTGAATAAAATGAACAACAATAATAAAAATTAATAATAATAATTCGATCCAATTAAAATTTTTTCTTTATCAATCTATTTTTCCTTAATAAATAGTAGTAGCCGACATTTTCCTTAAGTCATGGTACTAGCAATTATAGTAATAATATAGATTATAAATATAATTATTGTTTATATTATCTTGTTAAAGAAATAAGACCTATATTTTATAAAATGAATAAACTAATAATTTGGATAAAACGAATAAAATGAATTCGAATAAGAATTTGTATTACGAAAAGAACCCCTATATGGTATTACTTGGCCATTTTTAGTACACTTGAACTTTATATTATAAACTTTATAAAATCATACATAAAACATTAAAATATTGCCAGTATTAAAAAAAAGTAATCCCCTACGCATTTATTAGTAAATAAATTATTATCAAAAAACAAAGAAGCTGAAATGTAAGATCACTCACTTGATGCTTTTGGAATTTATTGTGCGTGAAATGAAATCTATATGAAAATTAAATTAGCCAATCCTCCAAGGCTTACCGGTTTAAATGTCAAGCATACTTGTATAATGAATGATAAGTTGGAAAATACATCGGAAATACCATGGTGGGACTAAAGACTACCTCCGAGGCAAAATATATTTTATTTTGAGATCAAACTTTGTCGTACGAAAAAAGGAAAATCAAACTTGAAAATTTTTGTTACTATTACTATTTTAGGCCAACTGATCATTTATTTAGTATTATATATAGAAACAATAAATTTTAATCAGTCGAAATTAACCATTCTATTTTTAGATTTACGGAAATAAAGATATCTCGGGGGCATATTACCAATTATGTTATAGATTAACATTAAACATTATTGTATAAAAAAAATTTTTTTGATCGAAGCCCTGGTGATTTTTGCTGGAGGTCGCCCAGATGATTATGATCAAGAATTAATTTTAACAGATAGATAATTTAAATCCTTAAAAAACGCGTTATATAACAAATTATTTATTCGGTGTGACAATGTGTCTCTCCCACGCGCCATTTTGGCCAACATGTATGCAATTCGGCGTGTTTAAAATTGAGGTACAAATTTCCCGATTGAACATGATGCTGTTTGTTGTCAGTGTGTAAATATTGTGGCCTGTTAATATCTACAAATATAGCTTTATTATTACCATTAATTTTACCATTTCGTTCGCAACACAATGTATATAAACAAAAAAAAAAAATACTAATACGAGATTCTAACATAATGAACTAAATACTATGCGTGAGATTTTAATTAGTAATGATATATAATGCTTACATATTAAATTAGGGACGAGGACGGTTTATAAACTGCAGTTTGGTTAACAAATTGTAGTTCAAATTGCTCAATTTGACTCGGAATTTAAATCGCGGTTTTATAATTTATATGTTGTAATATATTAAACATCTTTTCGTCAAAATGTCCAACTTTCTAAGCATAATAATGCACATGAGGTTTCAAGGGTCAAAAAGACTTCTTAATTTATACCTACAACGGAGTAAGGTTTTGTGCATGTACATCACCACACGAAAGGGGGTTGCACTTGATCTTCATTTGGTAAATTACAACTTTAGCGACTAATTGAGCAGATGTCCATTCGGATATTCGTTTCGGATATGTTTTTTTAAAACCTCCTTCAATTAGTTCCATATGCAACTGTACAAATACGACACTTTTGAGTTTCATCATTTCTTGAAAGAAACGTATAAATTTGAATTACAAGGCTATGTCGGTTGGTGTAACATATATAAATTGACAATTAATTGTAATTGTTGAACCGAACAGCATCGATCCAGGTTTAAACCTTGATTAAACCGGTTTTAGTATGGGTTAAAATTATCCTTACATTAAATTTAGCAACGGGTTTATATTTATATCATTTCACATTTTCCAAACATGGATTTCAATTCCAGAGATGCATGATTATTTACATTATTTATTTGATTTGCTAATATTTGCCGATCAACCAAGCAAAAGATGTATTGAAATTGGTGAATCGATGAATCAATCATTCAATCAATCAATGAATGATTGAATGATGATTAATTAATTAAAAAAAAAAATCGGTCATTATCCTTACAACCTCAATTGTAATAAGAACATCGTTTAAAAATAATAAAGGAGATGGATGACGATGTATTAGTTTAATGTTGTATAAATTATGATTTGTTCGATTAGATGAGTATGATAATAAATGTAAATATTAATTTATTTCTGGTAGTAATAATATTATTATAATGGGTTTTGTCAGTGAAAAAATGATGAATGTTAATAATTTTTTTTATTTTTATTCTTTTTTAAAATATTATAAATAATTTTAGTTCATGACGTAAACTTATAATATATATATATATATATATGTGTCATTTTTTTTTTAAAGAATACAAATAAAGAATAGTAACGTAACAAAAATGCGTGCATGATCTTATTTTATAAATAAATTTTATGCATACACACAAAAATACAATTTTAAATTTGGGATTTTTAAATAAAGAAATAGTATAAATAATATAAATAACTAATTCTTCGGAATATTTAATTCGATTGTATTTATAATAATTTTACATATTCAAGTTTTTTTGGAGGGTATTTAATAAATTAATAATTACTTGAATTATATATTTTCTGGTTTGTTTGGACGTTTATTTATTATTTATATTATTTATTATTATTATGTGTAAATTAAAAATTTAATTCTTTTTCATAATAATAAAAAAAAAACTCTCTTATTTCTTCGTTCATTCCTATTTATTTATTTATTATTATTATTATAATTATATTGGTTCTTTAGAAAAAGAAGGTTATTTTCTCTTTTCTAAATGACATATATATTCAAAACATTTTTCAAAAATTAATAGAAAATAATAAATAATAATCCGAGCATAATAATAATAATAATAATAATAATAATAATAATAAATATTTAGTTATATACTCTTTTCTTTAGTTTAATAATCTATATTTAAATTTAAAGTTAGCTATTTTTTTGTTAAAATTATATAATCTTTAGATAATATCATATATAAAAAAGTGAAAAGAAAAAGAAAAAAAACACGTAAATAATTCACATATAATATAACGAGCGAAATTAGAGATAATTTAATTAATTAATTTTTTAAAATAATATCGTTTATTGCTACAATTATATAACTCACGTACATAATTTCACACATACATAGTATATATACACGGCATATTGATAATTTAAGAAAACCAGATAAAAAATAATGACAGATAGAAATTCAGGTTCATTTCAAAATAAAGACACTTCAAACAACAATAAAAGAATATCGTCAATAATAACTACTAATATTCAAAATCAATATTCAAATCAAAATCAGAATGTATATAAAAATCAAAATCAAAATCCAAATCCAAATCCAAATTTAAAAAAATCAGTATCTGCTTCATCTTCATCTTCATCAAATACATCATCAACATTATATAATAATAGATCGCTATCACCATCATCATCATTAACTGTATCACCACTACGTAGTATAAATAATTACAGTGATCCTTTTGATGATTCTACTACTTCAAAATCTTTAATTGCAAACGATTATCGCAACAACAATAATAATAATTCAGAGAATGGGTTGAATAATAATAACAATAATAAAATTAATTTGACAGCATCAAAGGATCCAAGCCAGAATCAAAAATATCAAAGTTTTTCACAAGATTCGGAAAATTCAAATTTTAAAAAATCAAAAAGAATTTCTTCAATTTTACCATATTATAATAATAATAATAATAATAATAATAATGACAGAATAATAAAAGAAGAAGAAACGGGCGATTTGGAAAATCATGATCATCCTACAGATTTCTTTAATGATGCCTATAGAGTAACCAGTGAAGTTGATGGTAATAGTAAAAGTAAAAGCAAAAGCAAAAACAAACGTAATACTATTGTTTCTACCGCATTAACAACTGGTAAGCATTGCATAAAAATATAGATTTATTAATATGTGTGTGTGTGTGTGTGTGTATATATATATACAAGTGTATACATTTATTTAGATAATCTGATCGATTTTATTTCTATTCCTTTCCTATGTTTTTTCTTGTTCTTCTTCTGTTCTTTTTAATATATTCAAGAATGATCAAAAACTCTTTCAACTAATAATATCTTTCCTTTATTATAAAGGAATCAAATCTGAAAATTTAGAGATGGAGGTTCTCAACAAAAATCATAAAGAGGATGACGAAAATGCCAACAGCGGAAATAATAATAAACTTAATAAAATTCCATCTATCTCAAAGAACTATAGACCTCGTCCAAATGATAGCACAAATAATAACAGTTTACAAGTACCAAAAATAAGAACAACTCTTGTACTAAATAATGATATTGATTATCATAACAACCATAACGACGTCAACAACAATAATTATGGTAATAATAATAATGGTCAAGACATACCGAAATCTGAATCAGGACCTCGTAGACAAAAATCTCTTATAAGACCTGAGCGTGCAAGGAGAAATCAACGTAGAATAAGTAGAGGTGTGACAAATTTTGCTGTCGATGATTCCACTGAGAGATGGAGTATCCTTCCTCCAAATGCTCTTAATATTACTGCTAATGGCAGTGTCGGGGCTGGTGGTAATGGCGACGGTGGCGATGAGAGACGTTTGAGTCGACCACTTAATAGAAGACTTTCAACGAGAGAACCACCTAAAAAAAGAAAGTGGTATAAATGTCAATGCTTTTCCACTTGGTTAATATATACCAACTGTGTCACTTGTTGTATTCCTCCTTCTCTATTATCTTGTTTTGGTATGCATGATAAATTGGTTCAAAGAGCTTGGAGAGAAAAAATGGCTTTGGTATCTATAATATTGATTCTTTGTGCCGCCGTGGGTTTCTTGACTTTTGGTTTCACTCAAGCTTTATGTGGCATACCTCCACCAAGAGTTCGTGTAGGCGGTGTCAGTCTGCAACAAGCTGTCATACTAGGTAGTATCTATGATCTAACCGACTATCCACATCCTGTTGAATTACCTGATATCACTGAGAAAAAGGGCGGGAATTTATTGAATGGTTTGGCCGGTGGAAAGGATATATCATTTTTATTTCAAACTCTAAATAACGAATGTAAAAATATTCTAATACCCAAAAATGGAAAACTTCAAAACTATTTCCCTTGTAATGCAACTGATGCAATTGATGATTTTTCGGATCTTAAGCCTACTGATAATCCTATTAATTTTGGGTGTCATGATGTCGACGTTTCAAAATCTGATATTAATGCTTTAATTTATGTCGGTGACGTATTTTTCGATTGGGATGATGTACAAAGAGGTGATCGCAATTTTGTTGTTCATAATGGTAATGTGCTCGATTTGGGAAAACTTAAATATTTGGTTCCAAACATTGAGATGATTCCGTTACTAAAGCAAATCAGTGTGACCGAAATTGACAATTATCGAGGTCGTGATCTAACTTATTACATGCAGCAAAATGTGGATCGCATCCAATTAGCAAAATGTTTAGAGGAGACAATCAGAGTTGGTGTTGTAGATTTTAATTCAATAGGGTGTATGATCACTGATGTTGTAACTTATGTTTCGTTGATGGTAATCGTTGGTGTGGTATTGGTCAGATTTTCTTTGGCCGTATTGTTTGGTTGGATATTAAGTTGGAGATTGGGCAGTTTTCGTGAGGAAACCGCAGAGGAACTTGCTATGCGTGAACGAGATATTGAAAAATGGTCAGATGAAAATGTACATTTTAAACCACCACCTGCTCCCTCTTCTCCCGCCACTAACAACAGGTATATATATATATAGTTTTGTTGAGTTGTATTGTATTACCATATCAGTTACAAAATCAATTAATTAATTATTCTCTTTTTTAGAAATTCGTTCAAATTTTTAAGTACATCAAGATATTCAACTCAATCACCAGGTACTGGAACTTATGATCGTAACAGAAGAGTAGACAATCGTTCCACAAGGATGTACAATTTGCCGAATGGGAATGGGTCCGGTGAGAATATTTTTAATAAAAACAGTTCAACTACTTCCCTTGTAAGACCGTTATCTACAACTAATAGTTTTAACACAGGACACTTTAAAGAAACGGATTCAGGAAGGACAAGTCGTCGCTCTTCTATCAACGAGTACAATCACACTCGTACTGACTCCATGTCATCTTCCACTTCATCTCTTGCCCAGACTTCTTCTTTCCAGCAATTACCCCAAGAGCCTGAACAACGTTTTAATTTCCCGCTTATACACACTATATTATTGGTCACTTGTTATTCTGAGGGTGAACAGGGCCTTAGAACCACTCTGGACTCGTTGGCTAATACCGACTATCCCTCTTCACATAAGCTTATTATGGTGATAGCTGATGGTATAATAAAAGGATCAGGAAACGATAAATCAACTCCAGATATTTGTTTATCATTGATGAATGACTTCTTCATATTACCAGAATTGGTACAAGCTCACTCCTATGTTGCTATTGCTGATGGTAAAAAACGTCATAATATGGCAAGAGTTTACGCTGGTTTCTATAGTTATAAAGATTTGGAAAATAAAACTAAACGCATACCAATGGTAACTGTTGTAAAGTGTGGTGGTCCAGAAGAACAGGACGACAAGAAACCTGGTAATAGAGGAAAAAGAGACTCTCAAATTATTTTAATGGGCTTTCTACAAAAAGTCATGTTTGATGAAAGAATGACACCTCTTGAGTATGAGTTTTTTAACGCAGTTCGTAATGTTAGTGGCGTCACACCAGATTACTTTGAAATTGTTCTGATGGTAAATATTAAAAAAAAAAGGAGAGGGAGATTTTTTTTTAATATTTGCGCTTTAAATAACGATTTATTTTTATTTTTTAATTTTAATTTTATAGGTTGATGCTGATACTAAAATTTATCCTGATTCATTAACTCGTATGATTGCTTGTATGTCAAGAGATCCTAATGTAATGGGACTTTGTGGTGAAACAAAAATTGCAAATAAAACTGATAGCTGGGTTACTGCAATTCAAGGTAATTCATCTAAATTATTAAATAATGCCATTAATAAATCATATTAATAATTATAAAATGTATGTTTATTAACATTTTTATTGTTTCATAGTTTTTGAATATTATATTAATCATCATATGCAAAAAGCATTCGAATCAATATTTGGTGGTGTTACATGTTTACCCGGTTGTTTCTGTATGTATCGTATCAAAGCACCAAAAGGACCAAACGGATACTGGGTACCAATTTTAGCAAATCCAGATATCGTTGAACAATATTCTGAAAATATAGTTGACACACTTCACAAAAAAAATCTTTTACTACTTGGAGAAGATCGCTACCTAACAACCCTGATGCTTAAAACTTTTCCTAAAAGGAAAATGATGTTTGTGCCACAAGCTATTTGTAAAACAATTGTCCCAGACACATTTAAAGTTCTGAGATCTCAAAGACGTAGATGGATCAATTCAACAGTTCATAACTTGTTGGAACTTGTGCTGATACCAGATTTGTGCGGTACATTTTGTTTCTCTATGCAATTTGTCATATTTATGGAATTGGTGGGAACAGTGGTGTTGCCAGCTGCAATTACATTCACAGTGTATCTTGTCATCATATCGTTTGTTAAACGTCCTGTACCAGTGATACCTCTATTACTTTTAGCAGCTGTTTTAGGTTTGCCAGCCGTGCTTATATTACTCACCACACGAAAACTTATTTATGTTGGATGGATGTTGGTTTATTTGTTTTCGCTACCGATATGGAATTTTGTTTTACCTGTTTATGCATATTGGCATTTTGATGATTTCTCATGGGGACAAACGAGAGTGGTTGAGGGTGAAGTCTCTGGTGAGGATCATTCACGTAAAGAAGGTGTATTTGACAGTTCGAGAATAGTGATGAAGAAATGGGCAGAATGGGAAAGGAAAAAACGAATGAAGATACGTAATTCACAGTTAATACCTTTCTCAACGGCTCAAATGTCGCCCGATGAAAATTACAATAATGTACTATCATCAGCATCATCAATAACATCAACACCTGCTACACTAACTACAACACCACCTTCGGCTTTTGCTTCCTCAAGGCCTACATCTGTGATATCAAATTTTGCTGGTTTCGACAAATCATATTTACAATCAGCTCCACCATTACCATTTAATCCACGTGGAGGAGTTAGTAAACGTACAAGTACAAGGCCCCGGGCTGATTCTTTGATGATACCACCACCTTTAGCGGGAGGTCCAATATTAGGAAATAATAATGTTTTTACTAGTAGTCCTGCTAGCAGTTTAATGTCATCACCTCTTAGTTCGGCTCGTAGTAGTGTAGTATATCATGATAACCACAATCATAGTCATAGTAATAGTAATAATAATAGTTCAACAAATTCACCTGTAGATGTATCACCTTATCATCAACAACAGCAACAAAAACATTTGGGTCGAGGTACTTTTAATACTATTAATAATAGTACCAGTAGTAATTACAATAATAACAATTATAACAATAATAACAATAATAACAATTTTAATGATAGTGATAATAATTCAAATAATTTAATTTAATTAATTTTAATTTTAATTTTATTTTATAGAATATAATTTATAATTTTATAATAATTAATGTTGTGAATATTTAAAAACAAACAAAACCGTTGACGTTAATAATAAGTGACATTTACGAGTTGAAATTTTTTTTTTTTTAGAAATTTATATACATTCAATGCTTTTATGGGCTTTATCTTTTATTTTTTTATATATATTCGTTGTAATTTTAAAAAATACATCATAAAATATAAATTTATAATAAAAAATGACAAATGATGATGATTTGAAAATCATCTTTTTTAATCATCCTCTCCTACTGGTAGTGCACATTTGTCAATTTTCTATATGCCATCTCCTAGCCAGTTCATGGTATAAAAATTTAGTTTTAGGCGTGATGATTGGAATATAATCTATTAGTATAGACCCATATACTATACTTTTCCATGTTTCTGCATATACAATAAACTAACCAGCCATAAACAATTAATTACACCCATTTGCCAATGATTTAAATGCTCATTAACTTATCAGTAAATTGTTTTTTTTTTGACAAGCTTGAATTCCAAGGGGTCTCAAGCCTCACCATTGATAAACTTATTTGCAGTCTTTGCAAGAGTCCCTTTCATGTCGGCACATCTTCCAATCCTTACTTTTGCAAGAGAATCTTTATTTTCATTATGTGCCTTATCTGTTGCAATGGCTTGTATTCCTATATTTGAAAAATCATCAACATATGTATGTATGTACATATGAATGTACGAATGTATGATCTATCAGGAACGATTATTTTCTGCAGTGATAAAATATTACACTGTAAAATCCTACAACAATATTATTATAATTAATTATTGTAAAATTACAAAAGTTGTCTTTATTAATTTAGATTGATGTCCTTATATACGAATTACATACATTGATAATAATATAAATATAATATAAATAATAATACTCTTAATATTCTTATCAATCTATCTGGATGATTATAGGACATAATTAATAATAATAAATATAAGATATTAAAGGCGACGTGAAATAATTTAACGTTAATATTAATTGAATGTTACACGGATATTTTTACGCATCGTTTCACGCAAGACAAAAATATTGTTACATTTATCAAAGAGTAAGTTAAAAGAAAAGGATATTCATCAAAGGGAGCTGTGATATCTTAATCCAGTGATTCAATATGAGATACGAACCTAGTGGAGGCATTCAAAATTGCAAATGCATCTCATACCTTAGAAAAGAAAAACTTATCTACAAAAAACCAGGACACCCGCTATAAGAATCCCTAATAAGTTAAAGACCCCGATAAATAAAATTTAATACAACATTTTAGATTAATTATCTTACATGAAGAATATTGAATGATCCAAAAAATGAGATGAAAACAAATCACAGGTAAGAAGCAATCACATTACAGTTGTGGTGTTGAGCAATTTTCAACATTTCACTTTGTCTGGTTTTGTTGCAGCATGCCCCAAATATACTTTTGTCCTTTGGAAAAAGAAAAAAAAATAATTAATATAATTATACATACTTTTTAATAGTATGTGGTAGTACCATCAGTGCTTGCAATCTTGAGATAATTTTCATCTTCTGGTCAATTAATTCAAAATTTACATATTGGTCATTATTATGAATTGAAATAAATAATAATTACATCCTCTCCTAGATGAATTGAAACAAATAATTCTTTTATGATATAGTTGTACATTTTTTTCCTATAATATCTATTACTTACTTTCATAAATAATAGGTTGTAAACTTGGTTCTTCTAATTTCTTTTTTTTTTTGCTGAATTCAATCTACATAAAATTCTTGACATGAATATTAAATTCTATAAAATCATTTTTTGTGAATTTCTTCTAAAGAGAATTTAACTTCACCATCTTCTTTCGATGCTATTACTTTATCTTCAGCCTCCTAAAAAATCTCCAG